GTTCAATGAGCCACTCTGTCTACAGGAAAGCTACCCATGCAGATGCTTACTTAAAACTTGATTCCCACAACCATCCATCCCAGAAGAATTCCCTCATCAAGACTCTATACCATAGAGTCCAATGCATCTCCGACCAGAAACACATTGTCAGTGAACTCAAGCATGTACACCAAGCTCTCAAGTCTAATGGTTACTCCGACTACACAATCCGCAAAGCCATCATTCCAACCATGAAGAAGGATCCTCTTGAGGAGCCATTCAAAACCATCACCTTACCCTACATTGCGGGGGTCACAAAAAAGATCTCCAAAATCTTGAATAAACACAAGATCCAGGTCCGATTCAGCACAGTACATAAAATCCATGATCTGGTCCCGTCTGTAAAAAATGTGGTTCCAGACATACAGTACCCGGGTGTCTACAAACTAAGTTGCCTCTGTGGTAGCAGTTACATTGGATAAACCAAACGACATATCTCGGACCGCATCCATGAACATAAAGCAGACTTGAAATACGGTAGGACGAACACCTCAGCCGTGGCAGATCACTGTTATAATTCAGTGGGCTCACATGACATTGCCTTCTCCAAGACAGAGGTTCTCTGCAAGCCATCCGGCTACCATGAGAGATTCGTTCATGAGGCCATCCACATATACAAACACAGAGACAATTTCAACCGAGAAGATGGATTCTGGCTTAGTAATCATTGGAAAGACGTGATAAACCATTTCGGTTCTTGATTGATTGTATTTTACGGTGACTTTCAGACCGCAGTCCATTCACTGGCACTGGCTCTTAGTACCTTTCACACGATGGTCAATGGTATGGTTTATAGCATATTGTATAATAATAAATAGTATAACAGTGTAATGTTTAACATAATTCATAAGGCAATATATAGTATCATAATTGTATAGTGAATATACAGCAGTGTGGTGTACAGTAGGGTTGGTAGAATAATACATAGTGTAATATTACAAGTCTAATATTTGTATATTCTAAAGTATAGGGTAGTGTATAGTAACGCATTGTATAATTCAATGGTGGGGTTTGTCTATGGCAGTGTATATTACGTTGTATAGTCGTGTATTGTAGAAAAAAGTTTAGTTGGAGGCATATCAATATAATGCATAATGTTAGAGCTTATATTGGGCTGTGTATACGATATTATACAATGTAGTTTAGATTGGAAGGTATATTGTAATGTGTAGTAGTCTAGTTTATAGCATAGTTGTAACACAACACAGGACAGAGCAGCGCATCGTGGCTGTTTCTCTCTCCCCCCTCCTCCGTTCCGAGCATAGATGGACTCGTCCATCTGAACATCGCTCGCTGCTTTCCGTGGTGCTAACGTTGAGGAAAAAAGAAACCGCCACTTTTTTCGACATAGAATTGTAATGTATAATGACTTATTGTTAGTAGCTCAGCTGATTGGAGACTATATTGAGTTTATTGATAATATTGATGTAGTTTATATTTTAGTTTTTTTTATCAGTTTACTATATGGTATTCATTATATAGTGTAGTGTATACGAAGTTACTTTATGTTAATAGCTCAGCTTATTGGAGAATATATTGAGTACATTGATTATATTGATGTAGTTTATATTTAGTTCTTTCACATCGGTTTATTGTATGATAGTTGGGTAGTTGCAGTTCTTTAGCGTCAATATACTGAATGCCAGTTTAACACGCAGGCTTTCGCGACCAATATTATTCATAATAAAGGTTTTTGGGTTAGATCGCGTTATTTATGAATGTGTCGTAACCCTTCACCACCCGACATGGCCAAACAGTAAAAAAATGTGTCACGTTTACAAAGGACAAATAGTTCACTACTTTAGCCCACCGGTGTGTTGAAGAGTGAATCAACATCATTTAAAATTTGAGTACGACGTTTCGCTGGTAATTACATCCAGCTTCATCGGGCAATTCGCCAGAATGGTAAAGCCCTCTCCACTTGCTCCCGGTCTTAAATAGAGCAGCAGGGTGATGTCATCATTTAACGTATTCAGGCGCAGCGATTTTAGGCGGAGGGGGGGGGGGTATTTTAATTATATAATCGATTGGTAATCAGTCAATGATTATGATTAGTAATTAGTTGTAGATTAGTAATCAGTTGTAATGAATACGTTAAATGATGACGTCACCCTGCTGCTCTATTTAAGACCGGGAGCAAGTGAGGGCTTTACCATTCTGGCGAATTTCCTGATGAAGCTGGATGTAATTACCAGCGAAACGTCGTACTCAAATTTTAAATGATGTTGATTCACTCTTCAACACACCGGTGGGCTAAAGTAGTGAACTATTTGTCCTTTGTAAACGTGATACATTTTTTACTGTTTGGCCGTGTCGGGTGGTTAGATCGCATTATAAATAATGCGATCTAACCCAAAAACCTATATTATGAATACTGAATGCCTCTGTTGATATGTAAACTCTGACTTTAACATAGCTACTTCCGTGACCAATTACATGCTAATTCCTCACACTAACATCATGCTAATCTCCCAGTTACATGCTAATTTCTGACTTTAACTTCCTGCTAATCTCTCACATTAACACAGCTACTTCAATGCTAAATTCCTGTTGATATGTAAACTCCTTTGTCAAGGCGCTCTGCTCCTCCCACCTAGCTTAAAATACGCTGCCAAGCTTAACAGTGTTCATTGGAGCGCTGTCTTTCTGACAGTTCTGTTTCTTCACCTAAGGAAGGCTACTTGTGTTGTGGCCGAAACGTCGTGATGATTTTATTTTATGTTTTTTTTTTATTTCCCTTCTACGTGACCTTACCGAAAGAACCAAGAAGATGAATCCCTGCAGTCACGAAAGCTTTACATCGAAATAAAAAAATACCATATATCTCAGGAGTAACTTACAAATTAGCCCGTATTTTGCAAAAGAAAAACATTGAAGTAAGATTTGGTACAATACACAAAATTCTAAAACTAGTATCTTGTACTAAAGACGAATTACCTAAATTATCAACAGAAGGTGTATATCGGATGAATTGCTTATATGGCAGATGCCATATTGGTCAGACGGGACGTAACATCAGCATAAGACTAAAAGAAGACCAAATAAATGTTTAATTATCTCAAATACAACTGTCGACAGTGGCAGAACATGCTTGCCAACAAGGCGTACTCAATTGATTTTGATGAAGTGTTGTGTAAAGCTAATTATGACTGGCCAAGACCATTTATGACTGGCCAAGACTAATCCATTGAAATTGAGAGAAATACAAAAAACTTTAATCGCTCTTACAGCTACAGGCTTAGTGCAGCCTGGAAGCGTATTATTAAATAATACATATTACAATTCATTATAGGGTAAACACATACTAATTAACTGATTACTAACTTAGTATATAATTACAATAACCCCCCCGCCCTCCGCCACCTCTGATTTCTGCACATGATTGGGTATAGTGATTGGGTTCAGTTATTAAATAATACACATTACAACTAATTACTAATCTACAACTGATTACTAATCATAACAATAAACTGATTACTGTCTATACATATAAAAGGGAAATTTGTGATTATGTGTCTGTTCAGAATGTTTAGCGTACTTCCCAACATGCAACAAACTTGAAATTTGCCATGTGGGTACTTTCCAGACTGTATACCGTGCAAAAATAATAAAAATAGACTTTTGCATATATTTTTTTGGGGGGGGCTCAATAATGAATTTGGTTTTTGCACGGCAAGTCAGCTGTGACGTCACATCTGTCATGTGACCCGTATGTGGAAGCGTAACGGAGTGTGCCTGCTCATGTCACCCCTCCCCAACCCTCCGCGGGTAAAGTGAAATACAAATGTGTTGCAGATCTAAGGCGTTCTTTGCGCAGCATTGGTTTATTATTTCAGTAATTTACTGCCATACGCACCCTGAAAGTTGTGTCTGCAGCAAGCGTGTGTATGTGTACCTATGGACGCGTGCGCGTTTGTGTGTAGGGGGAGCGGTAGTGTAGTGGTTAGCGCGCTGTGCTACGAACACGGCGACCCGAGTTTGATTCCCGCTCACGGCCAACACCAGTTACGATTATTTGAACCGGTCCAGGGCCTTCCCTAGGTCGACTCAGCCTCAAACGCGTAACTGATGTGGTGTGTGAACATCGCCACTGGGAGACAAAGGCGGCCGGGCGTGGTCAATCCAAGTCCCGGGCGAAGCCGGGTATTAAAGCTCGTCTATTATATAATTACAATACCCCCCCCCTCTGCCTCCGATCTCTGCATCTGATTGGGTTAAATAATGACGTCACCCTGCTGCTCTATTTAAGACCGGGAGCAGGTGCAGGACTTCACTATTCTGACAAATTGCCCGATGATGTTGGATGTAATTACCAGCGAAACGTATTCAAAAATTGTAAATGTTGTGGAGTCACTCTTCAACACACCGGTGGGCTAGAGTAGTGATCTATTTGTCTTTTGTCAACGTGACACATTTTTTTACTGACTGGCCGTGTCGGGTGGTGGAGGATTGCGACACATTTATAAATAATGCGATCTAACCCAAAAAACCTTTATTATGACCATGAGATATGTTCAGTATTCGAGACCGTGAGTGTAATGGTGTGATTAGAAATCAAATATTGGGGCTTCAGCTCACCGATCGTCGCACCCCCTGAGCTATAATGTAGTCACTACGCCACTGTGCGTGGTGCAAATGGCGAGACCAGGGATTGGGTTTGGGCACTCAGGGCCGCGTCAGGCTACACCCAAGTGACGATGTTAACGGAGCAGGAGGCCGACTCTGAGGTGTTAAGTGACCAGGCAACATGGGATTGAGCCGTACACGGAAGTCATGACGTGGGGGAGACGAGCGTTGCCCATCATCGTGATTGCAGTGACCGCTGCCGTGGAGGACACAAGCTTGCCTGTTCGAGGGCATTTTGGAATAAAGTTCTGCAGTCAGATAAATCACCCGTGCCTCCCTTGATGCGACGGGACCATTCACAGGAGACAAGAATGACTAGAGCGCAACCCGGAGACTTCATCTTATCGGTCCGAGTGTTTATTTTCAGTCGGCCTATACTCTCTCATTACAGTCACGGTTGAAGAAGAAACAGGGTCAGGATGATTACACTGTGTCAGTTGAATGGATTTTCCAGGCGAAGTTCTTAATGTTAAATATATTATTAATCACTCGTGACATGGTACAGATGTTGCAATGGAGCCCCAGCAGTGTCACTTGTCCATTCTATAGATTGGAGAAAGCCTTTACACTCATATTATTGGGTCTTTCGGTAAAGTCACGTAATAACAGTAGTTTTTTTTATTTTGTTATTTTCTTTGAACCTATCTATGTGACTTTACCAAAAGACCCAAGAATTCCTGCAGTCACGAAAGCTTTAAGTCAAGCCTTCACACTCGTTTCTCTGTCCGTTGGAGGTATGCAGGAGAGATGAAGCTGATAAGCCTCTGCCTCGTGATAGGACCCGAATGCTGATATATTAATTATTTTCAGGCTTAGAATTCCCCAATTAGAAAGGCACCATGTCACATGTGTGGCCATTGTACATGGAAGCACGCTGGAGATAAATACAACCCTGACATCACCTGCTGCCAAGTGGAGGAATCTCCGTGATCCGCAAACTCTTATATGTAATATCACCCACCCCACAATTGCAAGTAAAGGACTACTGCATATAATAAAACACCCCCCCCCTTCCTCTAAAAAGAGTCACTTGGACTCCAGGCCTAGCCTTTGCCTCTCTGATGGTTGTAAGTGGAGGTGTGCTCGGTGATAAACGGTCTCGTACTGCATATTTTCGGTCGTGCGTTTGAAGAAGCCACACTGCAGAGAGAGACGGCGCAGGAGGGAGGGAGGGACAGAGACACAGACCCAGGACCATAGTCAGTAAAGTAACTGCCGTGTCGTGGTGGTTTAAAGGCATGCAAAGTGTGAAGATTTCATAATCAGAATCGGAATATCTATTTATACTGGTGGAACCTGATGAGCTATAAAGCTCTTTTTTACAGATGTCCAGTAGGGGTGGGTAAGAACGTTACAAAAAACATAATAGTAGTGCAAAGTACAGCAAAGGTAAACAAATCACACAAACACAAATAAAACTAAACTATCCCCATCCTATCAGGCAAAGCCCACTTTACCTCACTGCTCACGACTCCGCTTCACACAGTTACCTTCGGTGGTCTCACATCTCCTGCACCCATACCCCCCAACCCGCTCTGTCCGTAGGCGAAGAGGGTGTGCGCTGCTGCACGAGTACGGTAAGTACTCGCTTAAGGCGTGGTGTTCACTACAACGTGTTTATTCCATAAGGGAACATTTTTCACACAAAGCGGAACGCGCACCGTTAGAACGCGGTTTCTGAGCGGTCAATGATGAACTACTTTCTTGAGCTGCGTGGAATGATGAACTACTTTCTTGAGCTGAGTGGCTTGGCGGTGTGGGAATTTGGGGAATACGAACGATACAGGACGTGGCAGCACACCCTCATCTCACGCGTATGTCAACGGAATGGGAAATGGTTAATTCTGCACCGTAAATCCGTTCGAGCCGACCTCAGGGCAGCCCACGGTAGACGTGGCCCGGGTGAGGCTGCTGCTGACACCACTAGCTCGGACCGTGCTCCGCGTGGTGATGCACTCAGGAGAGGGTTGCCTGGCGGCGTCTCGTGGGGAACCGCTACCCTCCGGGTCGTAACGTAATCCATAATGTAATCCATTTAAAGGGAAAAAGGGATGTTCACCTTCCACAGCAGAAGGATGAGCAGGGCGAGAAGCAGGAGTCCGGCCAGCACGGTGAGCAGAATGATCCACCAGGGCAGGGTGACCAGGGCAGGGCCCGGTGTCTCCGTGAGCACGGTGACGCGCACCTAGACGCACCGCATGCAACACATGCATCGCACATACAGCACGCACCACACTCTCCGCATGCACCGCACGCACCACACGCCGCACGCACCACACGCGCCGCATACACCACACAGCACGTACTGCACACACCATGCACACCACAGGCACGGACCGTACAGACCACACCCCACCGCATGCCACGCCGAGCTGAGGAGAAGTTCACAGAGCCCGGTTGTGGTTGCAGGCCACGGTGGTCCTGCTCGGATGCCACATTCTCTGTCGGCTAGGGAAATATAGTAGGGAATGTCAACAAGATCTACACCTCTGCATTACTGACCTCGTTATCGAGGCTGCTGTTATCATCACTAAGACAAGGTTTTGCTATGTGTGTCATGCTATTGAGCTACATGATTATATGCTCATGACCATTAATGACCTTCATGATGTAGGCAGACCCAAGTAAAGCTGCTAGACTTCCCTGTCACTACGACACAGCCCTCCAGTCCTCTACCATCACGGTGGAGATAAAATGAGAGGACTGATCGATGCCCAGATGCAGTTCATGTGTGGCTCTCTACTGGTTGACCATATTGAGTATGTTGATGATCTGGTAATTGATGCTCACTCTGAGGAGTGGGAAGCTCTGCTGCTGAAGCTGGAACTTTCAGTGAAAAAGGTGGTGCCTTACCATCAGCCTCACCAAAGCAACCCACCTGCCTGGGTATATTGTGTTCTGGAATATTCCACTCCCTCAGCTCTCCATGAACCATGGGGTTGTTGTGGAGATGGTGGAGGTGTTATCATGTCTGGACAGTGTGCCCATGGATAGCTCCAATTTAGCACTGGGGATCTCACTCTAAATCAGTTGAACGCCTAAAACTGAGCAAGTTGACACGATGGGGGAATGCAGGCTGTGTGCATCTACTGGTCGTCTTAAGTCGGTTAACTCGCAATAACCTGGGCCTATCTCATGATAGGCCCAGGTTATTGGCACTAAAGCTGTCATAACATCGCGTCCAGCAGCTTTTGTTGTTCATAATAAAGGTTTTGGGTTAGATCGCGCTATTTTTAAATGTGTCGCAACCCTCCACCACCCGACACAGCCAATCAATAAAAAATATGTCATGTTGACAATAGGCAAACAGTTCACTACTTTAGCCCACCGGTGTGTTGAAGAGTGAATCCACAACATTTACAATTTGAGTACGCCGTTTTTCTGGAAATTACATCCAGCATCTTCGGGCGATTTGCCAGAATAGTGAAGCCATCCACCTGCTTCTGGTCTTAAATATTGCAGGATGACGTCATCATTGTTGAACCCGATCAGGTTTCGAGATCAGAGGTAGAGGTGGGGGTGAATGCAATTATGTAATAGATCAGTAATCAGCCACTTAGCATGTGACCCATCTGCAAGGAATTTGCAATGTGTTGTGTATTAATTAACAATACGCTTCCAGGCTGCGCTGAGTCTGTAGCTATCACAGCGGTTGAAATTATTTGAATTCTACTCAATTTAGATTGATTCTCTAACTAGTCTTGGCAATTCATAATTAGTTCTGCATAACACTTCAACTTTAGCAAAATCAATTGAATGTCCTTGTTGGCAAGCATACTCTGCCACTGCTGACAGCTGTGTTTGGGATAATTTAATGTTCCTTTGGTGTTCTTTTAGTCTTATGCTTCCCGTCTGTCCAATATAACACTTACCGCATAAGCAATTGATCCGATATACACCTGTTGATAACTTCTGTATTTCATCTTTAGTACAAGACACTAGTTTTTGAATTTTGTGTACCGTACCAAATCTCACTATAATGATTGCTTTTGCAAAACACGGGCTAATTTGTCAGTAACTCCTGAGATATACGGTATATGGTATTTTAATTGTTTTGATAATCTGATCACTTTGAGCAGAATTGTTGTTTGGTCTTGGTTTGGCATTTAATGCTGTTAATTTGAGCATTATTGTAGCCATTCAGTCTGAGTGCTTATTTAACATGTTGAATCTTTCACCATCTGACACTGTCTTTGCCTGATGTATGAGCATCTTGATGAGAGATGATTTCTGTGCTGGGTGATCATACGAATCTGTATTCAGATAGGCATCAGTGTGCATTCTCTTTCGGTAAACGCTGTTTGTTATTTTACCATTTTGACCACATCCAAGCAAAATATCCAGGAAGGGGAGTGCATTGTTCACCTCCATTTCTATGGTGAACTGAATAGCTGGGTTTTGTGCATTGAGATGATTTAAAAATGCATTAAGTGTATATTTGTCATGTGGCCAGACAACCAAAGTGTTATCGACATATCGAAACCAAAAATATGGTTTTAATGTACTTGAGGCAAGTGCTCTGTTTCAAAATTTTCCATGGACAGATTTACTATACATAGCGCGATCTAACCCAAAAACCTTTATTATAAATAATATTGGTCTCGAAAGCCTACGTGTTAAACTGAGCTTTTGTTGTGTCCAGCTGGACACTGTGATTCTCTGGGGGTGAGCGAGCCAGACTTATTGCTAGTGTGTCGGTGATATTCCTGTACAATGGGAGGAAGTGCGAGGATGATGGTGCATGCCGTGCGTGTACCGGTTGTCCTTCGGGCTTAGCACCCTTGATGACGAGGTTTGTCAAAGGTTTTGTAAACCCCACGTGCACCCGGGCTACCACATCCACCTGGTGGGCCCTTGGGTATTCCTGGTGGGTTGTTACACATAAAAACAAGAACACTTAAGTGTCAGCATCATCATCACGATCTACGGGCAGATAGCCCGTAGGTGTCCATCGCACAACTTCGTCATTTATTTCCACTTTCCTCTTTGTCTTGTGCCAATATTCTCAAGTAGTGCCACATATTTTTGGCACAAATCTCTTATGTCGTTAAGCGATTCTCTGTTAGGTCTTCTTCACTTACACGTAAGTGTACACATTAGCATACATCACATACTAATATATACGGGAAAGCTTGCAAAATGTATTTGTAAAGGTTTTTCTTTAACTTATATTATGTAGATGGTGATCATTCTGCCACAATGTGGTACTCATTTTATCAACCCGGGTGGGCTGACAGGCTGGGTCGACCCCCTCGCTGCACGCTCCCGCAACCGTTCAGTTGCGAGCGGAGCACTCTAACCACGGCGCATCCTCTCATGGGCACTATTCACGCATTACACAACACGCACTAGCGCGTATTGCCTTGTTTTTCGGTGTCCTATGGGGTGCATCCGGATAAATGGAAGGGGAAAGTAAAATCACCTCCAAAAAGGTGCTGTTCCAAAGGCGAGCACGCAGCCTGACCTGCGCCAATGTCTGTTTACCCGGCGGCGTCAGCTCCGCCAAGGGACAACGGTACCGCCAGCACCGCGCCGTACCCTCCCCGCAGTCCTGCCAGCAAACACGCGCGTTCGGAACGGTACATTTGAACCAAAACAACGTCTCTCAATTTACACTTCAGCTCGACAACCAAAGGTGTCAAAGCGCCGCATCAATTGTCAAGACTGACACCACAAATTGCACGAAAATAAGTCGCCTCCACGGGTCATTACCAGTTTGACGATTCGCCAATGCAAATGAAATAGGCACCAAACAATTACAGTGAGGCAAAATAGTATTTGATCCCATGCTGATTTTCTACGTTTGCCCACTGACAAAGAAATGATCGGTCTATAATTTAATGGTAGGTTTATTTTAACAGTGAGAGACAGAATAACAACAAAAAAATCCAGAAAAACGTATGTCAAAAATGTTATAAATTGATTTGCATTTTAATGAGGGAAATGAGTATTTGGCCCCTCTGCAAAACATGACTTAGTACTTGGTGGCAAAACCCTTGTTGGCAATCAGAGGTCAGACGTTTCTTGTAGTTGGCCACCAGGTTTGCACACATCTCAGGAGGGATTTTGTCCCACTCCTCTTTGCAGATCTTCTCCAAGTCATTAAGGTTTCGAGGCTGACGTTTGGCAACTCGAACCTTCAGCTCCCTCCACAGATTGTCTATGGGATTAAGGTCTGGAGACTGGCTAGGCTACTCCAGGACCTTAATGTGCTTCTTCTTGAGCCACTCCTTTATTGCCTTGGCCGTGTGTTTTGGGTCATTGTCATGCTGGAATACCCATCCACGACCCATTTTCAATGCCCTGGCTGAGGGAAGGAGGTTCTCACCCAAGAATTGACGGTGCATGGCCCCGTCCATCGTCCCTTTGATGCGGTGAAGTTGTCCTGTCCCCTCAGCAGAAAAACACCCCCAAAGCATAATTTTTCCACCTCCATGTTTGACAGTGGGGATGGTGTTCTTGGGGTCATAGGCAGCATTCCTCCTCCAAACACTGCGAGTTGAGTTGATGCCAAAGAGCTCCATTTTGGTCTCATCGGACCACAACGCTTTCACCCAGTTGTCCTCTGAATCATTCAGATGTTCATTGGCAAACTTCAGACAGGCATGTATATGTGCTTTCTTGAATAGGGGGACCTTGCGGGCGCTGCAGGATTTCAGTCCTTCACGGCGTAGTGTGTTACCAATTGTTTTCTTGGTGAATATGGTCCCAGCTGCCTTGAGATCATTGACAAGATCCTCCCGTGTAGTTCTGGGCCGATTCCTTGCCATTCTCATGATCATTGCAACTCCACGAGGTGAGATCTTGCATGGAGCCCCAGGCCGAGGGAGATTGACAGTTCTTTTGTGTTTCTTCCATTTGCAAATAATCGCACCAACTGTTGTCACCTTCTCACCAAGCTGCTTGGCAATGGTCTTGTAGCCCATTCCAGCCTTGTGTAGGTCTACAATCTTGTCCCTGACATCCTTGGAGAGCTCTTTGGTCTTGGCCATGGTGGAGAGTTTGGAATCTGATTGATTGCTTCTGTGGACAGGTGTCTTTTATACAGGTGTAGCGGTTGATTTCACTCGGACAACTTTTGTCTTTCTTCCAACACCACTTTATTTACAGTTCTCCACATGTCCTCAATGCTCCACAGTTCCCTTGTTGCCACAGCTCGCTCGCCGTGCTTCACTCGACTCGCTCGCCGCCTTTGTCTCTCCAATCTCCACCTCTCCGTCAGCTCCGATGTCTCTGTGCTTCCCCCACTGCTGGCTGCTTCGTCACTGCTCCCCGCTCTCCACTATCACCATGCTCTCTCTACTGCTGGCTGCTACGCCTCTACTCTTCGCTCTCCGCTATCACTGTGCTCTCTCCACTGCTAACTGCTTCGTCTCTGTCTTCCGCTCTTCGCTATTACTATGCTCTCTCCACTGCTAACTGCTTCGTCTCTCCAGCTACTCCATGTCTTGCCTCGTCCAGCCCCCGACTCCAACTCCCCGTTTCTCCTCACGTCCCCCAATTTATCCCCGCTATCATTACACCCCAATTAATTAACCCGCGTCCCAACGACGCTCCGCGTGCCCGTGCATCTGTTACCTCGCCAGACTTCAAGACGCCACCTCAGCACTGATAACAACACCAGCCAATCACAGCCGTCCTTGGCTCCCCCAGCTTAATTAGCCCAATCGTTACCTCATCGTGCCAATATGACCCCCTACTGTCCTGCTCCCGCGCAAACTCACCAATTACCCCCATGCGCCGATTTATTCCACTACACAGGTAACAAGCTGAGATTAGGAGCACTCCCTTTAAGAGTGTGCTCCTAATCTCAGCTCGTTACCTGTATAAAGACACCTGGGAGCCAGAAATCTTTGTGATTGAGAGGGGATCAAATAATTATTTCCCTAATTAAAATGCAAATCAATTTATACCATTTTTGACATGCATTTTTCTGGATTTTGATGTTATTCTGTCTCTCACTGTTAAAATAAACCTACCATTAAAATTATAGACTGATCATTTCTTTGTCAATGGGCAAACGTACAAAATCAGCAGGGGATCAAATACTTTTTCTCTCACTGTACCCACCAAAGACCTTGTAAATGACTGAATGATATAATTTTAAGTGATAGCGCAACAAAGTGGCTCATCACATTGAAAGTTAGTGCAGCCAAATACTCGAGACGCATTTTTCTGAATGTGGAGGGGAAACCCGGAGGGCCCGAAGAACAATCCAAAACATTTTTTCACGAGTAAGAGAGGGTTTGTAGAGTTCACTCGCCAACACATTTCCTTCCCTCTAATTCCTTTTTTATTCCGAACATTATTGGTGTTTACAAGTGTGCCGTTTACAGGGTGAGCTAATGATGATGGGAACAGTGGTAAAGTGGGTTCCTGGGAGATTGATGCAAAACCATTTCTGATTCCAGCTACGAAAAGGGGGTGAGGGCAGGGTTGGTTGGCCAATCAGCACGCAGGGGGTTTGACAACCAGCCAATCAGAATAAAGTACTTAATAGCATCTGTTTTGAGTCTATTTAGCCTTATATTAGTTTGCTAATACCATAGCTGTCAACCCATAGGGTTTACCCGTATTCTTGTACAGGGATATTGAGTTTACAGGTCCATGAAAAAAAAATAAACATGAGTGTGTGCATCCACATATCAAGCAAGCAGCAACTTCAGCATGCAAGATCACAGACAGAGGCATAAGTAGCATAATTGACACCAATTATAAAAAAAAAATTAATACGTAAAACTGTTTCTGTTTAGTAATCTCTCGCCCACTTCCGCAGTTTTCTTGCTGTCGTTGTCTCACCTGATGAAGATTGCTTGTGTTGCGATCGAAACGCCGTGATTTGTTTTATTTTATTTTATGTCTACCTACGTGACTTTACTGAAAGAACCAAGGAGTATGTAACATCATTTCTGTCTATGTATTAGTGTTTCTCCCTTGTGATGGGACGTTGAGATTGATAAGCGCACGGGGTGACCAATAAGGTCGAATTGGTCTGTAATAAGGTAGGCACTGATAAGTGGTTGACAGGAATGTAAGATCTCAGAATACGCCGACCCGCTCATACGTGACCGACCCTGATTCACGCTCACACTTCGTGACTCGGTACTTTGGCTACACGCACGGGGCGGGAAGCGAGGAGTCAAATCAGCCCCCCCGAGCTGTCAGGCGCACGTGGATTTGACGGCATGTAACTGTACAGCCCGCACAAGAAACGAGTCCACAAAAATAGCGTGTTCTAATATAGTGTTAATATATTGTTAATAACAATAACGTTAATAATACTCTTTTGTTCTTTCGGTGAAGTTACGTAGAAAGAAAATAAATTAAATAATAGAATACGACGCCTTGATTGCAACACAAGCAATCGTCATCAGGTAGAAAACAAACCTAGTAAACTTAGAAATATAATGCAACACAACACAGAGAGTCGGCTAACAGAACAGTCAACACCCTACCTGGTTGATTACGTTCTTCCAAAGATTGCTAAATTTGAGAGAGAGACAAAACACAGACACGGAGACACACAGACAGACACACAAGCAGAGAGAGACAACACAGAGACACACAGAGAGAGACACACACATAGACACACAGAGACACAACGCCTCTGTGTCAAGGCCTTAAATAAAGAGAGGGGGGGGGGCAGAGAGAGAGGTGGGGGTGCTGGAGCAGAGAAATTAGCATGTCATTGAGAGAGCTGTGTGGAAATCCACCCGCGGCAGCCGGGGGAGAGAGAGACCCAGCAAGCCTGGTACATTTTAGAGAGTTGTGTGGAAATCCACCCCGCAGCGGCCGGGGGTGGGGGGGGGGGAGAAAGAGCAAATGGACCTACAGTATGCAAGCCTGGTAGATTTTAGAGAGAGAAATAGGACGTTTGAGAAAACGAACTTAGCAATTTTTTTGGAAATGTAATGCAATGCAACACAGGGAGTCGGTTAACACACAGTTTACATCGCCTGGTTGATTACGTTCTTCCAAAGATTGCTAAATTAGAAGTTAAGTGTGAAATTTGACAAACAGAGACAAAGAGAGGGAGAAAATTGACATGCTAATTTCTCTGCTCCAGCACCCCGACCTCTCTCTCTGCCCCACCCCCCCTCTCTATTTAAGGCCTTGACACAGAGGCGTTGTGTCTCTCTCTCTCTGTGTCTGTGTTGTCTCTTTCTGCTTGTGTGTCCGTCTGTGTCTCCATGTCTGTGTTTTGTCTCTCTCTCAAATTTAACAATCTTTGGAAGAACGTCATCAACCAGGTAGGGTGTTGACTGTTGTGTTAGCCGACTCTTTGTGTTATATTTCATTGTATTTATAAGTTTACTAGGTTTGTTTCAACCTGATGACGATTGCTTGTGTTGCAATCGAAACGTCGTATTCTATTATTCTACGTGACTTTACCGAAATAACCAAAGAGTAATTCCTGTAGTCACGAAAGCTTCAAATCAGTGTTAATAATAGTGTTAATAATCTAATAGTGTTCATAATAATATAGTGTTCTATCTGACATGGATGCTACTGATGATTAGTGAATCATTTACTGTAGAGTACTGTACTTCA